TAAATGTCCTACTCTCTCCACTTTAAGCCTTGACCTCTCGTAATTTTTTACACATTTTCTCAATTTATAGTTTAAATAAATAATTAAAGAAATCAAAGAATAACAAACAATATTTAATTAATTAAGTATTTTTGTTCATTTTAATTAGGTCTAACAACATAGGCTCAGATGGGGCGAAAGCAGTTGCTTCCGAAATAGCTAAATGTCCTACTCTCTCCACTTTAAGCCTTGACCTCTCGTAATTTTTTACACATTTTCTCAATTTATAGTTTAAATAAATAATTAAAGAAATCAAAGAATAACAAACAATATTTAATTAATTAAGTATTTTTGTTCATTTTAATTAGTAACAACAACATAGGCTCAGATGGGGCGAAAGCAGTTGCTTCCGAAATAGCTAAATGTCCTACTCTCTCCACTTTAAGCCTTGACCTCTCGTAATTTTTTACACATTTTCTCAATTTATAGTTTAAATAAATAATTAAAGAAATCAAAGAATAACAAACAATATTTAATTAATTAAGTATTTTTGTTCATTTTAATTAGGTGGAATAGTATAGGCTCAGATGGGGCGAAAGCAGTTACTTCCGAAATAGCTAAATGTCCTACTCTCTCCACTTTAAGCCTTGACCTCTAGTAATTTTTTACACATTTTATCAATTTATAGTTTAAATAAATAATTAAAGAAATCAAAGAATAACAAACAATATTTAATTAATTAAGTATTTTTGTTCATTTTAATTAGGATGAATAGTATAGGCTCAGATGGGGCGAAAGCAGTTGCTTCCGAAATAGCTAAATGTCCTTCTCTTTAAGATTTAAGGATTGATTTAAGGTATTTTATATTTGAATATAAAAATTAAAAGCACAAGGAATAATAATATATAAAATGTAATTAATAATATTAAAATAAATAGGAATAATAAATTGAATGGGGATGTTTAGTTTATGAATCTTTTACCAAAAGATATTTAAATAAAAAATTAAACATTTAAATTAAGT